TCCTCCTCCTCCTCCTCCCTTCTCCATTCCCAAATTGCCAATCCCAATAGCCCGGATGAGCCAGCTGGTAGGAACCCGACGGAAAGAACCGAAGAGCTTCCGAATGGAGAAGGCAAGGAAGCTGCAGCAACGGAAGTGACAGGCGCAGCATGAGTATGTCCTGCCCCAGCTGGGCTGGAATTTTGTGTGTGTGTGTCGTCGTCCCCCCCTGCACTGCCATCCTGCCTCTCCCTCCTTTCCACCCCAGAAGGAATCACCCCAAACAGACACCAGGGGCAGGGGAGAGGGAAAGCCACGTAAATCAAGCGCTCTTCAGGGGAAGCCCAGCCCTCGAAACTAGGGCAGGCTGGAACCAGGAAGAAGCATTCCCTTGCACTAGGTGGGGAAAGAAGGAAGCACGCAGCGACCATAAAGGGATACCTTTTTAAAAGGAAGCCTATTCCATTTTGAAACTGCTGATGATCCTAGAAATAACCGAAGCACCTTTTTTGTCTTCATCTAAGGGGGGGGGGGAGAGCACCATACACAAAACCCTTGACATTTGCCTGCTAATCTCTGCGTAAGCGATTGCTTTAAAAATGGTCTCTCCGGAGAAGAAAAATGAATTGGAACCTTGTGGCAGATTAAGGACTAGGGGGAAAAAATTATTGCAGCATAAGCTCTGGTGCACTGAGGCCTTTATCTGCGAGGAGCTAAACGATACCGAGGGGTGGGGTGTGGGTTTACTGTACGATTTGACATCACTGTCGGGTGGGGACGCGGGAGGGGAAGGAAGCTAAGCCGGAGGCAGGCGAGGCTTGCTATCTCTCTCCCCCAACCTTCAGTTTACACCTTTCTGCTCCCTACTCCAATGCAAACAAGGGCAAAGAATACGGATTCCCCAGCGTTGCTCAATCAAGAGGAAGGGGGAAAGGACGAGGAAGGCGGCGCAAAGAGACGCACAATGAAAGTCAGGGGGCCAAAGACAGCCATTAAGGAGAGGCTCAAGGATTGGCCAAGGCCAGACGCTGCTATTGCATCCCTTCTCTCGCTCTTCCCCCCCCCCCCTAATGCCATGCCATTCTCTGCCAGGCAGTGTTCCCTCTAAGCCGAGTTAGTGTGAGCTAGCTCACCGTTTCTTAGCCTCCGGCTCACACATTTTTGTCTTCGCTCAGGGAGGAGGGCTCCAGAGCAAACTGACTTACGCAGCAGCCAAATGGCTCGCTCACCACTTGAATGCCGGCAGCTCACAAAGTAGAATTTTTGCTCGCAAGACTCCACAGCTTAGAGGGAACATCGGGTGTGCAAAGGAGGGAGGGGAAGGTGAGGAAGAGTTAAGTCACCGCTGCTGCATCGCCACCCATGCAGCGTGTCCCTTCTGAGGCCACCGTGGGCTCCCCAGTCTGTGGGCACGAGGCTGCAAGCCAAGCCAAGCCCCCCCTCTCCCGGCACAGGGAAAAAACCCCCAGATGTTCCCTCCAGGAAGACAACCCTCAGCCCAGCAGCCGACCAAGGCCCCTGGCACAAATGCCCCCCTTAATAAGACCCCCCCCCTCATCCACGGCATTGCACTCCCCCCAACCATGAGCACAGGGTCAGTGTTCCCTCTAAGCCGAGTTAGCGTGAGCTAGCTCACAGTTTTCCAGCCTCCAGCTCACAGATTTGTGTCTTCGCTCAGGGAGGATGGCTCCAGAGCCAACTAATGTATGAAGTTGCCAAATGGCTCGCTCACAAATTTCACGCCAGGAGCTCACAGAGTCGAATCTTTGCTCACAAGATCCCACAGCTCAGAGGGAACATTGCCCAGGGTCACAGGAACCTCACAAGCAACCCCCCCCCTCCCGCTGTCCTCGATGCCATTCCCCCCTCCTGCCAGGGCCACTACCAGTGTTCCCTCTAAGCTGAGTGAGTGTGAGCTAGCTCACAGCGCTTTAGCCTCTGGCTCACACATTTTTGTCTCAGCTCAGGAAGGAGGGCTCCAGAGCAAACTGGCTTATGCAGCAGCCAAATGGCTCGCTCAGCACTTGAATGCCAGGAGCTCACCAGGTAGAATCTTTGCTCACAAGACTCCACCGCTCAGAGGGAACACTGGCCACGACCCCCCATATATAGGGGGCAGTGCCAGGGCGCACGGGCTCGCGAAACCTTCCTGCCTTCGAAACGGAACGGAGGGGCCAGGCAGGAACCAGTCCCAGCTCCCCAGGCACGGCTCCCCGCCCCAGAGCAGCC